ATAAAGTAGGAAAATGACTTCCCATAAAGTGCCCCCCTCCCAGATGTTCCGACTATGCCCAAACTACATTTAGCTCACCGCAGGATAGATTAAAGCTTAAGTTTATAATTTGGTGTTTTTCTCTTTATCCGTTTTTGAGTTCAAAATTTTCACTGTTTCTCAAATTTCTCCAATACAGGCCATTTTAGGATATTTATGTATGGGGCAAAAATTATAAAGAATAATATTTTAAACAACTTTTATTTGAAGAAGTTTCTTCTATAATCGTAAATAACAGATATATTCCATTGCATACTTGGATAATATATTCCAGGTATTGTTCAATTCTAAACAATTTTAATTATAATTGACAATGTTTGAAAATCCCTGTATGTCCAATTTTATCAACGATCAAAAATAACATTTTGCCGTTATCCACTGTTTAGCAACATTTGAAGTTTTTTTAAGGTAAATATTTTTACAGTATACTTTTTTACTTTCCTATCTGTATACAGATATAAGGAAAGTATAGGAATCATGATTTTTTTCGACCTCGAGTTTTCGACGGATTTTTACGTTTTGAGGTCCCCTGAATCCGTTTTGACTATTTTCGCGATGATGTCTGTGTGTGTGTCTGTGTGTGTGTGTGTCTGTGTGTGTGTGTGTGTGTGTGTGTGTGTGTCTGTATAACGCATAACTCATGAACCGATACACGGAAAAACACCAAATTTCAAACTTAAGCTTTATTCCAGCGTCTAATGAGCTGATTAGATTTTGGGCAGAGTCGGAACATCTGGGGGGGTACTTTATAGGTGGTCATTTTTATATTTTATGGAATATATCTGTTATTTACGTTTGGGGAAGAAAATTTTTTAAATAAAAGTTACTTCTTATTTTATTATCTATAATTTTTGTTATTTACAAAATTTTCCTAAAATGGTCCGTATTCGAGAAATTTGACAAAATGTAAAAAAATATTTTTTTTTATAAAAATTGTTCAAACAAAAGTTGTTTGTAATATAATTCTCTATAATTTTTGTCCCATAGATAATTTCTCTTAAATGGACCGTATTCGAGATATTTGAGAAAATGTGTAAATTTCGAAATTTGAAGAAAACTCAAAAACGGATAAAGAAAAAATCAATAAATTTTAAACTTAAGTTTTATTTTGGCCTGACGTGAAATGATTAGATTTTGGACAAAGTCGGAACATCTGGGGGGGTACTTTATGGGAGGCCGTTTATATATTTTATGGAATATATCTGTTATTTATGTTTGGAGAAGAAAATTGTTCAAATAAAAGTTACTTCTAATATTATTATCTATAATTTTTGCCTTATGTAAAAATTTCCTGAAATGGTCCGTATTCGAGAAATTTGACAAAATGTGCAAAATTCTGATTTTTATGAAAATTGTTGAAATAAAAGTTGTTTGCGATTTCGATCTCTATAATATTTGTTCATACATGATTTTTTTTTTAAATGGACCGTAATGGAAAAATTGTAGGAAAAGTGCTAAATTTAAATTTTTCAGTATTTTCATTTTCAATGAATATCTATAGAAAAATGTTTCGCGGTAGATGTATGTGGACAATGTATATATATATATTTAGTTTATCCTCTAAACATTTATAGAGATGCTGCAATAGGTTGTACACAATAAACGGAAAAAGCCTGTAATAACTAGATAGGAAAGTCATGTGTTGGACACATCAGATTTTTTTAATAAAATTTTCGTACTGTTATTAATTTTTCTAATAACTTTATTTTGCACCTTCCTTTTGTCCTTTATGAGGGTTATTTGGAGAACATTTTTTACTTTCCCCTCTATGTGTGCGTAGGTTTCGGCGTAGGTGCGTGAGTGGGTGGGTGCGTGAGTGGGTGCGTGGGTGGGTACGTACGTAGATGCGTGCGCGGATGCGAGGTTGCGTGAGTAGGTGCGTGCGTGCGTGCGTGCGTAGGTGCGTGCGCGGGTGCGAGCGTGCTTGCGCGTGTTTCTTTATACTCGATAACTCATGAAAGGATTAGGAAAAAACACCAAATTATAAACTTAAGCTTTAATCCACCCTGCCGTGAAAGAAATTTGAGAAAAAGTGAAAATTTGGAATTTTAAACATAAGTCAAAAACGAATGAAGAGAAAAACACCAAATTATAAACTTAAGCTTTAATCTACCCTGCAGTAAGTTGTTTAGATTTTGGACATAGTCGGAAAATCTAGGGGGTACTTTATGCAGGGTCATTTTTCTACTTTATTAAATATACGCTTGCAGAAGAAACTTCCTTAAAGAAAAGTTGTTTGCAAAATTATTCTCTATATTTTTTGTTTTACACATAATTTTCCTAAAATGGCCCGTATTTGAGAAATTTGAAGATAAGTGAAAATTTCGAATTTTGAATATAACTCAAAAAGGGATAAAGAGAAAAACACCAAATTTTCAATTTAAGCTTAAACACATTCTGTGGTAAGCTGACTAAATTTTAGGCACAGTCGAAGCATCTGGGGGGGGGGGGACTTTATGGGGGTCGATTTTTTTTACTTTAACGAATTTCAGTTATTTATGATTAAAGAAGAAATATTTTTGTCCAAAGTTTTTTGCAATAGCATTTTTTATAACTTTTGTGCTCGCTTTAGTGCCATACATAATTTTTCTTAAATGATCTGTATTGTAGAAATTTAACAAAAAGTACAATATTTGAATTTTTTAAAATGAACTGTATTCCAGATATTTTTGGAAAACTGCAAATTTCGATTTTCAGTTTAAAAAAGGAAAAGAAAAAAAAAACACCAAATATAAAAAAGTGTGTGGAAAATGTATGTATTTAGTTCATCCTCTAAACATTAGATTATACAAAATAACTGGAAAAAGCCTGTAATAACTAGATAGGAAAGTCATGTGTTGGACACATCAGATTTTTATAGAGAATTGCCAAAGAATACCTGAGAATTCCTGGGTATACCTAAGAATTCCTAAGAATACCTGAGAATTCCCAAGAATACCTGGGAATTCCCAAGAATACCTGGGAATTCCTGAGAATTCCCAATGTATTTACCCCTCGGATTGTCTTATAAATATATATTGAGGGTAGAGTGGTAATATTTAATAAAATGATCCCTGCATGTTTGTCTTGATTCTAGATTGAAGATAAGTCTAATTGCTCTTTTTGTGCAATACATACTCTTGTAGCAGCAGGAAAATTTCCCCAGAGTGTAATATTGTATGATATGTGTGAATATACAATTGCATAATATACCTATAGAAGTTGGTTAAATGTAAATATCTGTTTTAATTGAAGTAGAGCATAACAACTGCTTTTCAGAACATTGGCTGTTTTCTAACCAGGCGACATGTTTCAATCTTACAAATTTTAATAATGTAACTACTTTTTGTAGAGAAACACATATCCATGATGGGGTAAGTATATATATTCACAACACTTTACAAAGCGCTGAGATTCCAGAAACTAAGAATATGTCAAAAGACATCCACTGTGAAATAACTGGGGCGTTTATTAAAAAGCTTAATCTGGTACTCATTGTTATACATAGGTCCAATTCACAATATCATCATTTTGAAATATTTCTTACAATTTTAACAAATGTCTTATTACTATTAGAAGCTAAACTCAAAAATAGTAAAATCATTATATGTGGGTATTTTGATGTAAAATTTGTAAAACCTGATAGCAGAACAAGACAACTCACCGACTTGTTAGTTCAGTTTAATTTTAAACAAACAATATTTACATTTACTCGTATTACAGAGAGCTCTCAAACATGTCCAGACAACATATTTGCTAACTTTCCTTTTGGTCAGACACGCATGTTAAGGACTACAGAGTCAGACCATGACCCTCAATTATTAACTTTCCTAAATCATGAGCGCTCCATATTAGGAGATATAACCCATTTTAGATCTTTCTCTCAAAATAATATAAATAATCTTAATAATCTTCTGCAAAATGAAACCTGGCATGACATGAGAAAAGCAACCAATGCAAATAAAAAAGCTGAATCACTTCATGATACATTTAGGAAACATTTTAATGCCTCAATTCCAAATATATCCCAACCTAAAAGAAAATGTAATACTACAATAAAAAACTATTTAAACAAGAGAAAACTAAATACAATGTATTGCTAAAAAATGCAAAACAAAATAACTTCAACAAATTAATAATTCAGACAATAAATCTAAAACCATACTTTTGTTTATATTTCCATGACCCTATCTCTCCAATTATTGTAAATAAAATTAATGGAGCTAGTCACCCTTATCTCAAGTGAGAAGAGCCGCATTATAACCCCAAACTTTGGGGCAACGTAGCAACTTGTTATAAAAGTACTGTGGATTCATTATTTTTTAAAGTTTTCTCAGATTTTAACAAATTACCCATAGATGTGAAAGATTCACATTCTCTCAATGTATTTAAAAGAAAGATCAAACAATTTTTAATGAATATCGGATAGAGGTAGCTAATATAACAATAGTTTTGTTGTGTTGTATTATATTTTGTTCTCGTTTATTGTAAATTTATGAAAATTCTTTTTTATGCCTTTGAAGTTGATTGTTTTACTTTGTTGAATTTAATTATTTTTTTTTATTTCTTACTTAAATAATAACTGCCATTTTTAGCAATTGTATATAATAAATAAACTTTATTTTATAAACATAATTATATAATTACATTAATCTAATCGTTTTCAGTTAAGAAAAAGTACAGAAACCTACGAGGTATAATGTAAATACCTGTATGTAGGAATATTGTATTTATATATATTATGCTTTATAATTTGTGTTTTATATGTATATTAAGGGTTCCTAATTATTAAATAAATTATTATTATTATTATTATTATTGTTATAAAACAATAAAATGACCTTTATTTTGACATCATCAAATTCATCCAAGATAAAATCGATATTTCAATGTTTGTGAACATAGTAAGTACCAATTCGTTTCAAAGTGTAAACATAGTTCCACCCCAGTTCAGCTTTAATAATCATTTAATAGGCACTTACTTTTTTGACAGTGATACTGCTTCCTTCTCTTTTCTATATTTGTAATTTTTTCGTCATTTTTTAACATATTTGATATCCTTTCATTTTCTTCCCAATCACACAACTCTGTCAAACTTTCAGTCTTTTCATTTTTGATAGTCTGTAGATCACAATGCGTAGTCAAAAGTTCAACTTCAGACTGAATATATTCACTAATTTCTTCCTTGATATCTCTGATATCAATAGCTTTAACTTCACTAGTGTCTTCGAGTTCTTTTTTAATAGTTGTAGCACAAAATGGCACTTCTTTTCCGGACGTCGAATCACTGTTAATTTTTGGCAGAAAATCAGAACGATGTTCAATTTTAGGCTCTTCACATTCCATACTTTCTTCTTTAATTTCAACATTTTGTCCCGGCGTGTTGCCCTCAAATTCATCAAAAACATCGTCATCATCTTCGTCTTTATACATTTGTTCAGTAATAAGATCGGGTTTGTTTTTAAAAACACCTTCACAAATATCTAAACGTTCTTCTTGTTCCTGTTTGATATTCATTGTTAACATAACGATTAAATAAATGATATCAGTTTTCTAATTATTTTAGATATATATTTATTTTCTTATAATATATTTATGTACACTGCACGCTAAGAAGTAAAGTAAAAACAAAAAAATTAAAAATGACAATTAATTGACAGAAAAAATGCCAAACTTCAAACAATGGATGCGTTCGTTTAGTTACTCCGTGGCAACTTTTTATTTCGATTGACACTTTTTAGCGTTCGTTTATATATATGGAGATTATACGGTATTCCGATTGTGACGTGACCCTTCATCACAAATACTCTAAAAAAATCTGCTCCTACCCACTCAACTCTTGACTAATTGAATCCACCAAACTGATTATAGTCGAGGATTATTGCATGTTCACATAGATTCTCAAATCTATGTATATGAATAGCAGCAGAGACAACTAGAGACGGGCAACTCAATGTAAATAATTGGTTCGGCAAAATTTGTCTGGGCGATTCTATAAAAGGCACCAACCGAGGGCGCTGTGCACGGCGCTCACAGAACCGGAAATTCAGATCGCTTAGATCTTCTTTTTAATTGTACTTCTTCTTTTTAAATGGTCTCTTCTTGCGTTAGTAACCATATTAATCTGATAAACATTGGGATAGGTCATGGATAAGCGGGAATTTTAAATGAAAACAATGTTTCTACTTAAGTTGACAGCATATTATGGAAAATTTATTATTAGTTTTAGGAAAAAAATTATAGGGCTTGTCAGAAATTATGAATTTTTCTCAAGCCTGAGGGAATTTTACATTACAACAAATTAATATTTACTTTTTTTCCTAACACTAATAAAATAATTTTCCATATGCTGCCAACTTAAGTAGACACTGTAAATATGTATTATTTTTTCGAAGTTTAATTCTTTTATAATTATTTTTTTTTTAAGTTTATAAGCAACAAAACGCTAACCATAAATTTATGTAGTGTTTTTTTCTTTTTATGTCATTAAGGAAAATGTTTAATAAATAAAATTGTAGTATACCATCGTTTTTATATTTTTATTCATGATAATAATTAAAAATATTGATATTAAATACCTATATTATAAACAACAGAACTAAACAAACAAAAACCAACCTTAAATTGCAATGACATAAATACATAAAAAAAGACAATAATTGGCAAACATGAAACATGGGATTAATTTTAACAACCATAAAATACCATAGATATATGAATTTAAAAAAAGAAAAGTAATAACTTAATAATAATAAATATTAATTAAAAAATAAAATAATGAAATAAACGAATCGAAAAATAAAACCCACTGAAGAAGGCTGTTCTATCATGGGCCGAAAGCTATATTATAAATTATATATGTAAAATTTTTTTAATTTTTTTTGATTGTGTAATTTTTTTGTGACCTAATTTCCCTCATTTTTCTTTTACACCACCAAGGAATGCCTATTTTCCACACTGCTTTAAAAAAAGATTTCATAAGAAAATGTTTATGAGTGGTACATGTTACCCATTCAAAATCTATTTTTTCTTCAAATAGCTTTTCTATTTCCTTAGTTAAATTTAAAATGTTAAGTAGGAGACTCAAGAAAATCTTCCAATAAGCTTATAGCTGTTCCAACCTAAAATACTGGTTGTTCTGCAGGGTAAATGAGTCTTTCTTGGTAACGTTTACAGTTATCTGGCAGTCCATAAATTTCATTGGTAATACAACAGATTTTAATTTCCAGTTTCCAATATAATCTGTTCTCTAGGAAAGTGTTTACTGCAGATTCTGAAATTTCGCAGATTCAATAAAATTGCTGAAATAATTTAATAATCAACTTACTTATATCTTTGCTCAACAAATCTGTAACATTTCCAGTTGTCTGGCAGTCCATAAATTTCATTGGTAATACATCCGGTTTTAATTTCCAGTTTCCAATATAATCTGTTCTAGTAAAGTGTTTACTGATTCTGAAATTTCGCATTTCTGTTCGAAATATGGAATACCCAGGGCATCAAACCATAATTTGCATCTAAACAATAATATTTTATATTAGATTCTACAAATAAATACCAAGATTTTAAAATTTTAAATTTTTATTATTGAAGGATATACCTACTCGAAATCCCCATAACAATAAAAAATATAATTGGAAAGAATACAATACTTTGCAAATGTTATTTTAAAAACAAACACACCAACACTTAAGTCAATCAAGTGGGAAGTATTGAGTAGGTACTTTTTTTATATAAACCAACAATAATACTCATTAGGAATTAATGAAAGATGTACCCCTAATATCCAAATTTAATGAATTTGCATTTTTGTTAAGAGAACTAAATAGGTACTTAGGTCATAATAATTAGTTCTGTGAAATGGAATGAATAAATAATTTTCACGAATCTTACTGGTTCTCTAAATTGCATGGATTCTAAAAGTTCAAAACAATGAATAACTCCTTTACTTTATGCAAAAATAATAAATTGAGTGTACCCCTTCGAAAATTTTTAGGCATTTAAGATGCATAGAGTTTAATAAAACATTATAATCAGAGTTGCCATTACTAAACCTAATCTAAGAAATTTGTCTTGAACAGATTCTAATGACCTAACACGTACATCATAAAAAGGAGACCTAACTGGCAACTCAACTCATATTCCAATATTGTCATAACATAAGCCGAGTAAACCAGTTTTATTTGAATTAAATGATAGATTGTACTTACTTTGTAGAATTACGTGGAAAGTAATGCATTTTAGACACCTCATCTTCACTGCATCCACAAATTAAACAAAATGCCGGCATTGCTATTTAATCAAAAAAAGTCTAAACTATTTTAGCTTTAGTAATATAATAAGCTCTTGAAAATGCAAACAAAATACGTTACAAACACTACACACACTACAATATAAAAAGCCACAATATAAAATAAACAAAAACGCCGTGGCTAGCCACACGTTAAAAATCATGGTAGTGACGTCATGGATGTGACGTCACGGAAAATTCGCAGTATGACAGTTGTCTTTAAGGTTAGGTAATCAAATCAATCAATTTTTACTTATTTTGTTTTGGAAGAGGTCTACTAATGAGCATAATAAACGATATAGAATTCGAATTAAATTGTGAAATTACATATTTTAAAGAAAAGAAAGTGGAAGAATAAGACAACCTTCTCCAATAATACACAATAACATAGTTTCTAGCTCTTGAGATAGGTATATTGTTTTCTTTTTGTTAACACATAATAAACTCCTGATGTAAGTAAGCTGTATTAAACCAAATGCCCTATTTACAAATACGAAATATTGGAAAATATCTGTTCAATGTAATATTAATATTTTATTAATCTCATTTACAAAAATTACAAACAAATCACTGTTGATTCTCCTAGTCATTTACAATCTATGGTGATTTGATTTTAAAATTACTTGTTATGTACTGGTTTTTTAAAATATACCTGCCACAGTAGTAGAAAAATCTCAACTCACATACATATTAAAAGGAGATCATTCAAATACTAATGCTCAAAATTTTTAAATTGAATAATTTAAAATTTTATCCCATACTAAGTTTTTACTTTGATTATTGGTTGAGGCAAAGCTGATTTTTTACGAATAGTTTAGTTTGCAGTGCATCTCAGTCTCAGCTGACTATTCCAAATTTTATCTCGGGTACTTATTTTACCTTTTTTGTTCTACTTGTGATGAAGATAACAACTTAATTTTATAGATTTATCCAGTTAGCTCATATTCCAGAAGGAAACAAAGATAACTGAAGGTATATATTTATCTCAACCTTCTAGGTTTAGAATAAAAGATAAGTAAATATTAATAATGCTAAGATAGCACATTCAGAAAAGATTAATATAATGTAAATGTAGCCCTGCAGATTCTAGTCCATGATTCGGATTGATTGAAATTATTAGTAATCATCTACAATCTTGCCAGTCCTACAGACTTCTCTGATAAACAGTCGGTTTGGTTTTTACTTTCGTTGATTTGGCAACTTAACGTTAACAAAATAAGTAGGTACTGATTTTAGAGGCTTATTGTGTAAATGTTTCTATAAAGCCCGACATCAAACCTATTATTGTATTTACACTTCAAACTAGGTTAATGTTAAACCTTTCAAGTAAATGTGCAGGTTGTCCTATCTTACCAGTTACTAATCTTTGAGATAAGACAAAAAAATATGATGTGCCCAACACATGACTTTCCTGTAAAGTTATTAAAAATATTTTGAGTACGGTTGATCTAATCAAAAACTGTTCAGAATATGAATTAAAAGATATTTTCATTGCCAATGAAAATACTTAAAAATTCAAATTTAGCAATTTTTTCATATTTATTTATTACAATATATTTTAGAGAAACTATATAATGAAAACATTATAGAAAATGACATCACAAACAACTTTTATTGAAAGAATTTTTTTCTATAATCATAAATAACAAGTATACCTTAACGTAGAAAAATTACCACTATAAAGTATCTCCAATGCTCAGACTATGCTCAAAATCTAGTCAGCTCTCCCCAAGATGGATTAAATCAAGTTCTCTTTATCTACTCTTAAGTTATTGTGGATAAAGACACACAGACATCATTGCAAAAATGGGAAAAACTGATTCAAGGGACCCCAAAAACAAAGGTCAATCGAAAACTCGAAGTTGAAAAAAAAATCACAATTCTTATACTTTTCTTACTTAATAAAGGAAAGTAAAAAATGTAGCTACATTCTTTAAAATTAACAAATTATTGTTTATCATAAACCATTTTTTAAAGTTGAATTTTTCTAAAAAAAATCTTGAAAAGGTATATAGGTAGATATTAAAATAAAATTAGTCCAGAACAATACTAGTACAATAAAGATAAAACAAAGAATACTTTGTATTATGGGCTCATGGAATCTATTAATAATTAAAAAGGGGAGCTTTACATTAAAATACAAAAAAACTGCAAACTTGTAATGAAAAAATAAATTTATAAAATATAGAACTAAATTAACAAGACTTTTATTAAAGAAGCAAAGAAAAATAGGTACTTTCAAAATAAAATATATAAATAAAAATACCTCTAAATCTTGCAGAAACAAAGAAAAAACACTTATGGTAAAAATATTGTTA